AGCCGAAGCACCGCCGACCAGACTCGTGTCGACGTTTTTGCCCTCCCCCCCTGCTATACACACATACGAAGCGCACTATGATGATTATATTGTAATAACGATGTAAGTACGTCGGAGGGACAAAAAACGCGATCGAGTGCACCCAAGAAAGTCATTCACTTTCCGCATCGTTTTCGCGCGTACACGTGCGCGCGTGTATTTTTGTAATTTTTGCCGTCCGGCACATGTGTAGCAGAAGCAGCAGCGGCGCACGATTATTCATCCACTAGATAGTGTTTACGTGTACCAAAAAAAGGGAGAAACGCTGCTCCGTACGCAGCTCTTATCAGCTTCGCCGTCTGCGCGAGCCAAACCCTGTGGGGGGGACCTTTTCGAGAGTGGGTATATATTGTGCGCGCGTAAAGATAAGCCCCCTCGGCGACACCTCTTTTCTTCTGTTACGTTTATTCCCAATTTTATCAATTTTTCCTCCAGCAGCGGCGGAGCGCGTGCTCCGCGCCACGTGCTTATACGTTCCTCGGACGCGGTTACGTTTTGTTTTTCTCTCGCTTGCTCTTGTACACTTTGTGTGCCGGTGTGTACACAAAATTTCGCGGCCTGCATCAATAAATCTTGCGGAGAAAAGAAAAAAAGAAAATAATAAGCGAACGTGCTGGTGATTCCCCCCCCCCCCCACAACTACACAAATATAATAGTGATAACGGTCGCTCTAATCTTCTCTGTTTGACTTTGATTTGACGCGTACATTGTATGCGGCACTCCACAACGAGCAATCTATTTTAAACTCCCTGTTACCCCGCTCACTGGGATAACAAAAGCGTCCTTGAGACATTTGCGGCCGGGGATCGATCGGATGACAACAAGACACGTGTAGGTGCAGAGAAAAAAAAAACAAAAAAGCAAAAAAAGGGTAAACGTAAGCAAAGGCAGTCTGATTGAGCTTTTTAAAATCGATGAGCCAACTTTATCGGAAGACTCGATGCGTTGGATCAAACAGGTAGCTCAATTGATTTCGGCTTGGTTCTCGGAAATTGACAACTTGAACGGCGCGGGATGTGAGTATATACATTCCTCAAAAGCGCGTCCCGCAGATTGCAAAAAGTTGGCGATGATAAAGAATCGTCTGTGGCTGATAGGAATCGTTGAGATCCAAGGGGAGGGGGGTAGAAAGGAGAGGCGCGAGATAAGACACCCGAGATATACACATCGGAGAAATGCTGTGTACTGTCGCGCGATTGATTTTTATACTTTTGTCGCGTGGTCTAATAGCTCGTCGCGTCGATGCTTCCTGATGAAAATGAAAATAGGATCAAGTAACATTTTTACGTGGGAAAAACCGTGTCACTCGAGTGTTTTGGGTACTATCTCTCCTAAGGCTACTATGGACCTCTGGTCCTTAGCCTAATAAATCTACTCTACTCTACTCTCCTGCTCTCGCTTCTCATTCTAAATATATGTATATATTATTGCGTAATGCGATTATCGTTCGCCGTATACTGATTTATCGGGGTAATGAAGCGTAAGAAATTAGCGATCGAATCTTACTCGCGGGTGTGAGTATAATGTACATAAGAGATTATATATTAGGTACCTGTGTGACGCACGCGCGTTTTATTTTATTTTTTTTCTCGATCGAGCCAGGGGCCAGCACTAATAGCTATCTGGCGAACGATCTGCTTGCCGATCGATCTTCTCGAAAGCCCCTTCGCGAGACAATGACACGTCAATATTTTAATATCCTCTCGCGTGCGGATAAAGAGCTCTGAAATAATTGGGCTGTACTACTCTACGATACGGGATGCTAGTCTTGGAGATGAAGAAAAAAAGAAAAAAAAAATGTACGTCAATAACTCGATAGCAAAAAGATTCAAATGTGTTTTAATTGTCCATAATATGAAGCAAGATTGCTAACGATGCCGCGAAGGAGAAAAAACGAGGGCAGAGTCATGAACGCCGTCTCCTTCCTCGTCCTAGCGCCATCGGTCTCGGGGGAAGCGAGCCATGCGCCATCATGTCTTACACGCCGTTTGTATACACATATATATACGATGTATACTTACACGCACCGCCGACGCTGCCGTCGTTTTAACGTGCGCTCATAATATATAAATATAATATCGGCCAAACGAGAGGAGAAGCAGGGGAGAGAGAAAGCTTACGTAACGCGGCAATCGTCGTCGTGTAGCGTGACATCTGGTGCTTCAAAAGTTACAAACATACCCTACACACCAATTGTACAGAGACGTCGCGGAACGGGCCCCCTTTCTTTCTTTCTCCCCGTATGGGCTCCCTCGCTCTATCGCCTCCTTGCCTCCTGTATACTTCCCCCTTTTTTGTTTCGGATATACCTATACCTACTTGTGTGTATACGTATGTGAAGTACCGAGTGCCATATATAGGTGTATACGTGCCGTGCAAGACGCGGAGGCTCCCCGAGACTCATCCTTCACGCTTTTTCGCCGCCTCTCTCGCTTTTACGAGAAAGATATGTATGTGCAGGCCCTTGAGTTATACGTACGCAGAGAGGGATTTTTTTTTTTTTTTTTTTTTTCTCAACGTATAGAGTGTGCGTTAACGGGCTTCTTTGTGTCGCCCAAACAGCTACCGATGAACGCGTACTTATCGACTTTGGTTTTTTAATTTTACGCGTTTCTCTAAATTTGGCTCTACCGGCCAAGTGCGCTACGATTACACAGTATACATTATTGTACCCGCGGGGGTAAACGGCTGACCTATCGATATTGCAAGTAAGCGCGTCGAAAAATTTCGTTTGTTCAACATTATGAATATCCACGGGTATATATGATTTTGGACCATGCGCTTCGAAAAGTTTTTCCATAACTCGCGCTCGTCACTTTGTTTGCCAGCGTGTGGGGTTCGTTTCCTGCGCTCTTTACACCTATGGCAGCTTATCTCGGTTGTCCTGGAAAAAAATTCTTACATAAAAGACACATCGAATTCGCCAAGAAAAATATTACATTGGGTAAACCGCACCGTCACGAGGCTCGCAACAAATGAAAACTCCGGGCAATTTAGACGGGAATCCCTGAAATCGGCTCCCTCGTGTACTACAATATACGCATATGAAGCTTGCCAGTGAAATCCTAAATTCACCCAAGCGCAAGTAAATAAACAAACGGAGTAAACTCTCGATACCTCCGCGCGCGCGTTATCTCGTCTGGTGCACTCGAGCGCTATCGCCCCAGCGGAATTTCGTTCAACGCCTGACTCACTGCACTCCACACACGTATACCCCGGGGTAAATAATAACGCGGTGGTACGTAAACGCGATGCACTCACTCGAGTAGGCACAAAGTACAAATTACATACATGCATATATTATACACGCACACCCATTCCATCGGTGTATTATACGAGCGACCACGAGTCGACATTGCTCTCTTCCCGGGGGGTATCCGCCGCGCGGCTGCCTCTTATCGGCTTATCGGGCGCGGCTGTGCTTATCTCGCCGGCGATACACACATGTCGTGTACGCGGTACGTGAGCGAAGAGCAAGTATTCTCTCTCATATCGTTATACCAACGAATTGACGATGCGTTGTGTACATACACACACATCATCACCCTTGCCATCCTCGACTCTCGGACCTTTATGTACATACGTATAATAATTAAGTGTATTGTATGTGTTTCCCAAGTGCTCGAGGGTTTGGCATATGGGATACTCCGAGAAAAAGCTGTCTGGGTTCTCTTCTCGTGAAATCGGAGCTTTTGATACTTTGACGGATGGCCGAGGTATATCTTAGGGAGAAAGCACATTTCCACTGCTCGAGCTGTTACTTGCTCTATGGATTTTTTTTTTTTTTTTTTTTTTTTTTTACCCTTGTTTTTGCCGATTATTCACTACTTGTTGCTGCGATTTGTATTATCATCGGTGGTCATTATATTATTCGTCTGTCGTCAATCCTCGCCAATTCAATTATAGCGCGCGTCCAAATTAATTAATATTGTTTTCCACTGACTGTACTCTCTGATTGAATTATGGAAAAAAAAAAAAAAAAACAAGATTAAGTGCACGCACCAAGTGTTACACATTAAACCATCAAACAAGATATTTGTCGAATCGAGCGCGTATAACAATCACAACGTCGGGTGGGTCGTAAAATTTTTCGGGTCTTGTCTCGACTTGATAAAAAAAAAAAAAAAAAAAAAAAAAAAAAAAAAAAAAAAGATACAGAGTTGCAGCGAGTTGATGCGCCGATTACAGCCGTTTATATACACGGTACGCGTATACAACGTCTGCCAGCGCGTAACTTTGTTTATAAGTACTTAATGAAGCATCGATTGCAGCAGCGAAAAAAACAATAATTATGAAAACAGTGTAAGAGGCCGCGGTGACTTTGGCCGTGAAACGTTACTGTATTTATGTACTTGCTTTGCGCCGATATAACATGCATCGCCTCCTGCCGCGGGTCATTGTAAAAAACATGTAAATAAAAGCCGATCGAGTTGCTGCTCACTTCTTTTTCTTTTTTTTTTTGTTTTCAATTACCGACTGACGCTGGCACATTACACGAGCAGACAGGCACAATTGGGCACGAAAAAACACAAATGTATTAAAAAATCACGAGTCGCGGTCAGTGGGGAAAAATTACATAGGTGGGCGGCGCCAACAGCTCGCCGTCGATAGTTCAATTCTCCGTTATGTAGTAACTATATATGTATAGTATGGACCGAAAAATGTCTAATGCGTCTGTTGGAAGAACACAAGCTCGATGAAATTGGGAGATACGTGACTTGCTCAACCGTTCCGATACCGATTTACTTACAGTTAACCATAAGAAGCGACAAGAACGACCTGTTATCGCGCTCCAATGGGTACTCCCACGCGAGCGGTATTGCCTCCTCCCACCACGTGCTCTCTTTCTCTTGTACCAATACATGCGCGAGATCCATACGGCGGTCGGCGCAACCGCGGCTGATAGCGCGCTATTTATAAAAGAGCCCGCGTCGCGGCACGTCCAGTTTGACGCCGCCAGTCCAGCCGAGTGTTTCTCACTAGTTTGCCCGCTAGCTCCTCCGCCTCTCGCCGACTCGACGGTTCTTCGGCTCCAACGTCCACTCCCCCGTTCTCCGCGAGCAGTAGCAAAATGGAGGCAGCGTACTCCTAGCAGCAGCCAAACCCGCTGTGCCCCCCCCCCCCTAAGCCGAACCCAGTGATCGCCGGCCTTCGACAGCCAAAGTGCAACACAGCAGCAGCAGCAGCAGTAGTCGTACGAGCCAAAAGGGTGTCGAGTGTGGCTTCGTTTTTGGATCGCGTCGTTAAACCAAACCGGCCCAGTTATGTTTCCCATAGGGTACAGCAAGCAGTTCCTCAGCTACCGCATACTCAAGTCCAACCGATTCAAGTACATCTGACGATACGGACTCGGACCAAGTGTTGTTGTTTTTTAACGTAGTGCAATTACGGCCCGCGGACCCCGTATTATCGCTCGGTCCCCGCCGCGGAGAGACCTGGAACGTCTCTCCCGCTAAACACGAGTCGTCGCCCGTCGAGAGGAACATCTGCGTGTATACGACAATAATAACAATAATAACAATAATAATAATAAATAATAATAAATAATAATAATAAAAAAAAGTAGAAAATACGAATAGTAGTGAGATATAGAGGGAGTTTTTGGGGGTGAAAAGTCGTCTCACGATGATCATCAACTTTCCCGGCAGAATGCCCATCAGGCAGCAGCCGGCGTACCAACATCGGCAGATCGGTACCGGCTACTACTACGATAGTCAGCCGGGCCGCAACAGCAGCAACGACACCTGTTACTATTATTATTGCGGGCGCGGGCTGCTGGTACAGCCCGAGTACGGGTGCTCGCCGTCACCGTCGCCCCCGAGCCCGGGGGGCCCGAGTTACCAGCTACGCCAAAGTCACCGGGCCGTCGCCGTCACCAGCCCCAACACGCTGTTCTCGGGCTGGCCTCGCACGATGCCCCAGGACGAGGAGATGCTATTGACCACGACAACCTCGGCCCAGCACCACCTGGGCTGCGCCACGGGCCCAGGCGCGGTCGTCGTGGTGAACAACGGGCCGCCCAGTCCCGCCCACAGCGACTCCGACGCCTCGAGTTCCAGTCTTGAGCTCGGCTCCGTCAGGAGGGGAGAGCACGCGCAGCTCAGATGCAGGTAAGAAGCCCATTATAATTTTTACTTTTCATTTTTTTTTTTTTTTTTTTTTTTTTCTCTCCCAATGTCGCGGCAGAGCTTTCGACTCTGGGAAAGAGCGCGCGTCGTTTGCGTGTTTCCCACCGTGACTGCAGCGTTGCGAGATTACACGAGCCGGGATGATAAGCGCCAAGCCCTCTCTGGGGCACCAGTTGCCGCTGCTTTTTTTGCTTCGTCGCGAAGGCAGTTACACACCTTTACCGGCCGGCCTTGACGCGTACAGCCAAATTAATGAACGTAGAAGCAAGTACAGAGTCTCAAGGGATGACGATAATGACAAATAAATAATTAGGCATCGCTCGTTTTTGTAGATAACCCGTCGATTGAGCAGTTTTCGGTAGCTATGTATGGTTAAACGCGCAACTTGAAAATACACCGAAATAATGGAAATTCGGACAATATTAATTGGCTTTGAAAATGCGTGAACGGAGAACGGTATTTATTACGTTATCACTAGCCAAAGAGTTATGGCATATAGAGACGGTAAATTGCAAAAGGTATCACAGCAACCCTTTGCCATATTATCATCATCTCGAAAAAAAAAAGAAGGAAAACGGTACATGTATTTTATATAAAACGATTCGGAGTGTATCGTGTGCGTTCATAGGTCAGTCGAGCCAGAAATCGGCGAGTTTCGACAGCGTCGCGTAAAGTATATTATTTCGCATCGAATACGTATATAGGTACATTGTAGTGTCAACATGAACACGCGGTGGATATAGTTACGTAGGCCTAAGAAATTCTTGGTAATTATATTCTCACGGCGATTAACGTAATACTCATCCGAGGTATATAAATTATCCCACGCGTGCTATCGCTGAATTTAATATAATGCTGCACTGATGTAATAATAATAACGATATCGAGCTCGACTACTGTGTAATCGCGAGTGTGTGCGCATGTGTATACGTATATGATGGGTGCCCCACTCTCCACCGCTATCAATGTAAACGGTATATCAGCCAGGCGCCACGAGCCGATCACGTGTAATATAAAGCTATATATATATATGCGTCTCGCCGGTGTCTCCCGCACTGCAGTCGCGCGCACAACTGATGATTTCGGGTAAATGTACTCAGTGTATACACTGAGAAAAAATTGCTGTACGTTTACGAGGAATTTTACTATCATCAAATGAAAATTAAAATCCATACGTAAATGATAAAAATTTTATGTTACGTAGAAGTTTACATACGTATATAAATTATCACTTTCTTTGTAACAATACAACAATTCTCGATGTTTCGACGGGGAGTGTATAATAATTACGTGAATATGCTCGATCGCGTTATAGCTCGCATTTGCTGCCGCGTGTACGAAACGGTGATATTAAAAAAAAAAAAAAGCCCGGAGGAGAAAAGCCGGCTTATCTTATCAGCGAGCGGGCATATTTATATTGTGTCTCTTGGAGATGCCACGTTACAATGATCCCTCGTATGCAATGTTCAATAAGTATTTAATTATTGCGTATACGTACTGTATCGGCTATATGGCTGATTACGTGCTACCCACTTATGTATCTCAAGAGAGTTTGCACCGCTAATCGACATCAACAACAATATAAACAACAACGACAACAATACGATTAAGTTACGTGAGCAATTCTGCAGAAATACTTTTGAATTTCAAAAAATTGAAAAAAAAGTCATCGAATTGTTTTGTAACGCACACATTTTCGAAGCTAATTCGGGCTTTTTTAAATGTTGCTACATTTGACACGCGCTCATAGATTAACGAGAAATGCAGAAATATAATTGTTTCTCTTACCTATTCAAACGAGCACAAATCGTGTAGCAACGAGAACTCGGGCACATGTGCCGATTCTCCATCGATTGTTTTTTCATTTGATGTCGCTTGTGCGCGCACAGGGGCGATTATTTTTATTATCACAACTGCGCCGTACACGCTTGAGGTAATGCGGGTATCGTCGCCAATTGACTCGTTGATGCGGGGAATTGGCGTCGATTTGCGGAGGCCAGCGCAGCTTAGATCGACTCCAATACGGTCACGTACTACACGATGGAAACGAAATAAAAAAAAATAACAAAGATCTACTGCAGGCAATAGTAAAGTACTCTCATAGTTCATTGTTGTCATGCTCGTGCACATATGACGCCAATTGACTTGCGAGCTCGTTCCTATGATGTTCTTTTGAAATCAAATCGCCGCACATACCTCGGCGATACACATGCTTGCGCGAAGAAGTCGAGATCAATTGCGCCGTTTAGTAAAAAAACCCCTACTCGCGTAATGAAAGTACAACGTATGGCAGGATGCGATACTGTAAAATAATGATGAAAAAAGCATGTTGTGGGGAGAGCCCAAAATTTGAGAGCACCTGATTGAAGGATCGACCTCCTTTTCGACTTGTTTCAGATGGCAAAACTGCGGCAGGTGGTTCACGTCGCTGGACCAACTGGCGCGCCACGTCAAGCAGCTCCACGCCGCATCCGGTCCCCGTGGACTTTTCTACTGCGGCTGGGAAGGATGCCAGAGGGGCGAGCGTGGATTCAATGCGAGGTACGTTTGCATGCATTGATTTTGCTCACCTTTCTCTCTTCTACAAAATTAGCGCCAAGCGCCAACTTTTCGTGATTTTGCCAGAACCTGTTTTTCAAATCAAATTGCAATTATTAAAAAAATATGACGACAGGTCGTTTGTTTGAAACCAATGAATGGAAAAAAAAAATGCCTTTTTGCCAATGTATTTATGCTAACTGTACAATTCAGGTACAAAATGTTGGTTCACGTGCGGACCCACACGAACGAGAAGCCGCACCACTGCTTCCAGTGCGACAAGAGCTTCAGCCGAGCCGAAAACCTAAAGATCCACGCGCGCTCGCATACGGGCGAGCGGCCCTACGTGTGTCCAGTCGAGGGCTGCAACAAAGCTTACTCCAACTCCTCGGACCGCTTCAAGCACACGCGCACCCACGCCGTCGACAAGCCCTACTGTTGCAAGATCCCCGGCTGTCCGAAGCGCTACACCGACCCCTCCTCCCTGCGCAAGCACGTCAAGACCTACCGCCACTACGTCGGCGCTACCGGCACCACCAACAACAACAACAACCACGACGGTAAGCTGCTGCTGCTCGAGAAGAGCATCGTCCAGCCAACTGCCCGCCAAGAGGACGCGCAACTCATTGCCCCTGCCAAGATCTCGCCGCGCGACGTCAGTCCCGAAAAGAGCACCGCGAGCAGCTCCAGGTCGGACTCCTCCGACAAGAAGGACTCTAGTCTCGAGAGTAACGTCACCAGCAACAACACCTCCGTCGTTTCGTCCGTCAGGTAGGACGATCTTGCCATCACTTTACGATTAAACTTGCACCTAATGAGTCACGGTGATTTTGAAAACAAACAAAAACCAGCACCAACCTTTTTTTCGCCGATCCTTATATTTTGCTTTCTTGATTGTTTAGCACCGAAAGTCCAAAGGCAGCGTCGTCGACGAGTTTCGACGATCAGCAAAAGTTCACCGAGTGGAACAACGTGTACAGCAATCTGCCGGAGCGCAAGGACCAGCACGAGACCGTTCACCAGCCCACGGCGTCGCCCACGTCTTCGCTCTCGCTCTCGTCCTCCAAGAGCAGCTACGAGCACGAGCTTCAGACCACCGGCCGGTACAGTCACTCGGCCCTCTACGAGGAGTACATGCACCCCGACCGGCACCTCTCGGCCTTCCGGCCGTCCAGTTATCCGGCGATCGACGCAAGGCACTGTCCACCGGCCTCGCCCCCCGATCACCTGCTCGCGGCGACCCCGCGCATCGGCATGCAATCGACGCCGATCAAGAGCGAGGACAAAGCCGCCAGCGGCGTCGACTATCGCAACATCGAGTCCATCGTCAACAGTAGCACCAGCAGCAACAGCATCAGCAGTAGCAACAACAGCGCCAACACGCCCATCAAAAAGGAGCCCCTGACGACGAGCTACCGCACCACCAGTTCCGTCAGCTCGGTAGCCAGCGATCTCTGCGTCCGCAACTCTGTGATAAAGCGTGCCGATCCGCAGCTGCACTCCCCCGTGTCCTCGGGGGAGGCACCGGTGACCGTCCCCGCCCAGCAATCGCGTCACTCTCCTGGAAGCGCGACGAGCGAAGCCGAGTGCTGTTGCAGGCACAAGTGCTGCCGGCACGGCGCCGACGACACTCTCATCGAGAAGAGCAAGATTCTCTCGGATTTTATTCTCAAGTCGCAGAACCCGCTCTTCCGACACCTCTTGGCCTCGGTCGACCTGCAGTACGGTCTGCAAAACATGTGGAGCGGTGCCGGTCACTCGTCCCCGAGCTCCGTCGCCCACGAGCCGGTCCTGGGTCCAACGGCAGCGGCCGTAACCACCTGCGCCCAGGATCTCAGAGCCAAGTCCGCCGAGGGCACGCCGATGGAGATCGACCAGGACCTGCCGCTCGACCTGACGATCAACAAATGACGCACGACCGCGCTGGCTCTCGTGCCATTGTCAACCGTCGTCGCTGCGCCAACGTAACGTTTTCCCATGGTGTAGTCATGTATTTCTCTGATCGGTTGGGCGGCGACTCTCTCGCTTCTCTTCATTTTGCTTTCCCTTCCTCTCCCCTTCGGGTGTATACTCTTCAGCTCTTCCGCGTTGTTATGTATAATGTTGTTGTTACTGTTGTTGATATATGTACTGCGCCGGGCGTCGAGGTGGTCCGGTTGGCTGGAGTGAGGGCTCGTCGCGACCGATCAGACTGTACAAAAGCCAAATATTATAATCTAGTGGGTTCTGGCGCGCGGTACACGTTGCAGACGCCGAGGCATTGGTGCTCGGTTGCACCGGGTATACGCGTCGTCGCTCGATTGACGCACCGTCTTATTAATTATTTTTGTCATTATCATTATTATTATCACTATATTATTGTCATTATCACTAACACTATCATCATGTTCATTATTATTATCACTTTCATCATCGTCGTCATTATTTTCATCATTTTAAGTACTATCATTATCAACATCATCATCATTCTTATCATTGTCGTCATTATTATCATTAATATTATAATTCTTAAAAATATTATTACTATTATCTTTATAATCACTATTGTTACTCATATTATTATTATTATCATGAGTGTCATTATCATCATCATCATCGTTAAAATTATTATAATCATCATCTTCTTCGCCATTATCATGATCGTTATTGTTATCATTACCAACGTCATCATCATCATCATTATCATTATCATTATTTTTTTTANGATATAAATATTTTGTCTATAAATATAAATATATGTGTATAATTTTGCGTGTATACTGAAAAAAATACTCATTGAATGAGATGAGCAGAAATTTTTAAGAAAAATGTTATCGGTTGTAACTATCAAATCGACATTGACTCTTGGTTTGATAGTTCTAGTACCTGATACTAGTACCTTCCGTGCTAGATTTGTTATATTTCGAAAAAAATAATTTTTGTACTAAAATGTAGAAAAATAATGCGACATCGAGACGACGAATGGACCTATTGTTTCGGTGCCGTATGTAAATAATATATCTGTATATGAGATTGATAAAAAATGTATATTCGATGATGGCCATTACAAACAGCGAAAAAAAAAGACTAAATCATGAAAGTGCCTTATTGTCAGAAAAAAAAGAAACGAAGAACTAAACTATGTCATTTTGTTCAATAAAAAAAAACATTATTTATACATAATATGTACATGTTTTACTAAAATTCTTTCCATTTTATTCATTATTACAAATATCCTTCAAAACCTTAACAATATATTCAACAAAATTAACGTGGAAATCCTTTGAATAAATAGTTTTTATCAAACGACTTGGAAATTAGTCTAATTACAAGTAAATTGTAATAAATTTAACCTGCGAGAATCAAGAGGCGGACGATCCAGCACTGGCAAGAAGCTCTGACATCCCATCTTTGATAATCTTCAAACATTCCAAATCAGTATTAACGGTGTCTATCAATTGTGCCATTCCCTGTTGCTCCATGTTCAGATACTATAAAAAAAAATCGGAATATTTGAATATTTACACCAAATGACAAACATTTAAAATAATTTTAAAAAATTTTTATTTAGCAAATCACAAATTTTTTAACTTACCGTTTTAATGTCGTCTTGCGCAATAGGATCCATACTATATCTTTCTTGACATTGGGTATCCGTATGCCGTCTCATTCGTAACTGGGACAACATTTCACTAATTCTACCCTTAAACTGAGTTGGGGCGCTGATTTGGGAATGCATCGTTTCGAAACTGTTGGTTAACACTTCCTCCTCTGGTTGCAGCGAAAAACCAATTTTTCTGGTTATTTCTTGCCGTACTAAAATCTGAAAGGATTACAAAATGAGTTCTGTAAGTTCAAAAGTTAAAATCTTGATAATATAAAATTTCATGACCCTTACTTGAAGTACTCTGTGTTGAAGTTCCATGAGCGATCTCCTGTGCTCTTTCAACCTTGCCTGTGTAGATGTGTGTTGCCTTTTTAAACTTTGAATGTTTTCCGCTGTTAAATCGAGAAATGCACGATGTCTTGCAGTTTCTTCCTCTTGACATTTAAGTCGATGTTTTACCTGTTGAAAACCAATCATCGGTACAGGAATGTAGTGCTCTGGGTTTGGATTGTCCAATTGAGCTTGTTTCCATAATCTCGGATCTATGGAACATGGTGGGTTGTCCATGTACTCTTTAAGCTGTGCTGGATCTAACTTTAATTGTGGAAACATATTTTCTACTCCTAATTGTGTTAATTGTTGCTTTTGCATGGCCTGAGAAAAGTAGGCAAATAATTCGCCGGCAGGAATTTTCCTGAGAGATCCTGTGGCGCTCTTTTCCGTAACAAAAATCGTAACTTGACCCTTTGCTTCGCCCAGAGACTTTATATTATCTATTGTCACTGTGAGATTTGGTTTGTTACCTAAAATTTGTCCTAATGAAGCTATCAGCTGTGGTTTGGCATCTTTTAATTCTTGTTCCTTTTTTGCAAAGCAAAAATTTACCAAGCCATCATTGTTATCTGCATCTGGCATGCGGCTGTAGCCAATAGCTTTAAAGCGACACAACGGATTTTCTTGAATTAATTCTATCGGTGGCGCAGTTGCATAATAGTAAGCTTTTCCTACACCCCACAATGCTTGAATCAGGTTTAGCCTAGCAATTGTATTATCTCGCTCATCATTGAATAACTGGCAATTAAATACAGCATTGTACAACGCTTCCGATATCGCGTTTGAACTTTGCTGTTGCTGCTGCTGTTGTTGTTGCTGTAGTTGTTGCTGTTGTTGCTGTTGCTGCAACTGCTGCTGTGGCTGAGTCAAGCCTGTACCGAAACCCGAAAATGTACTTCCTAAAAAAGAAAATTTTGTAATTTTTAATTAAATAATACTTTGATAAAATTCGTAAATTTGGAGCATGAAAAAAAATTACGATACCAGTGCCAAAACCACCAAAGCCAGTACTAGTGCTGGTTGTAACTGGCTTTGCACCAAATCCTCCAAAGCCTCCAGTACTGGCACCAAATGCAGGTTGTGTATTTGTTGTACCAAATCCTGAAAATAGGGATGGAGCCGAGGTAGTGGTAGCTGTAGTGCCAAAGCCTCCAAAACCTCCGAAACCTCCTGTGCTACTTGTTGGCTGAACTGTAGAACCTAAGCCAAAGGACGAGGAAGCTGCAGGAGTAGCACCAAACCCTGTACTAGTACCCATTCCAAATCCGAAATTCGTGGCTGGGGTTGCAGCTACAGTTCCAGAAGTCATGCCAAAACCTGTTGCTGCTGGCGCACCAAATGTTGTTGACCCAAACGCAGGGGCTTGTTGAACAGCTGGTGTACCAAACAGGGATGTGTTTGAAGCTGTTGCTTGATTACCAAATCCAAATCCAGTTCCAGTTGTACCAAAACCAGCTGAAGGCCAAAAATCGTTAATCAGTGAAGCTATAGATTGTCATTTGTATACGCATTCATATGTTTTCTGTTAGTCAAAGATAAACAAACCTAAAAGTCAAAATTTTGACAGCTCTCGCAAAAGTTGGGAAGCTTTTTTTTATAGTAAGAAATAATAATATTTATCACCTCGTTATTGTCATTTATAAGTACTACATCATTAATTAATGAGTAAAAAATGATACTTTAAGCATCTACAAACGCAATGATGGACGGAATACTGAAAGACGATTCAATTGATGTTTTCAACAAGAGCATTCCAATGCAGAACACGGGAGGAATCAAAGTTTATGAAATAGAGATCGAAGTCACATCGGCACCCTACACGGACCTAACAAACAAAATCCCTGGACTGGGCCAACTATCCCATTCGACAATTATCATCATTGGGATTTCAACGATTCTCGCACTACTTTTTTTGTGCTGCATTGCCGTGTGCTTGATAAGAAAGTGGAAAAAGAAATACTACAACTGTCTGCACAGTGGCGAGGACAGATGCGATCCCAAATGTTGTGGATCCCGCAGACCATTACTGAAAAGGGACAAGTCCATGGATTCTCTGAGCAGGACAAGCCACAGCTCAATGAGGGATTGACATCATAAGTAGCATGTAACGTCATGCAATGCGGTAGGAATTTCAATTTTTAACGTGAAAAAATCAATTCGAGACACTCGATCGAGTACATACATTTAGTATTACAATTGTAAGGCCAACTAGGGTATAAGTACCGTGTAAAATTAAGTGACGAATAAAATTAAAAGCAAATTGTGTGGGAGAGCATTTTATAACCTAGAAAAGACGTGTGTGGAAACCCTCGACTTACCAGGCTTGATGGGGGTCGCGGTGACGGCGGGGTTCGCGGCGCCGAAGGAGAAGGCCGAGCTGGCCGCGGGTGTTGAGGCACCGAATCCAGTTCCGAACGACATGTTTATTGACGCGTTATTTAATTTTCAATTATAAGCACAACAAAAACTGTCACTGTCAACGAACACGCTCCCGCACTGTATTTCCCGCCACGGTTTTACGAATACGAGGCATGCATGATGCACACAAAAATATCTCTCACGACTCGCGACGCGACACGCCGCAACGAAACACGAAACTGAACTGAAATCTTTCAGCGAAAACGGATCGATCGCTGGCGCCACTTACCGCAGGTTCGAACTTTCTATTTTACCGCTCGTAAGTGAGTATACTTTTTCTTAGAAAAATTCGATACAATTGTCCTTTGTTGTCATCATAGATGAGGCTGCAGCTACAAATTGTGGTATATACATATCTCAAATTTGGATTTTTTGACTTTATAAATTTTGTGTTTTCTATAAAAACAATTTCTAATGTAACAAGCCATTTCATGCACTTTGATCATGGTAATATTGGATAATATCATGACTTTTGATTTTGTTAATTTCCAGTCTTATATTTTGTGATACGAAAGGAAATAAGGATAAGCAATGGTACACTTGTTTGATTTTATTTGTTTCTGTTTATTGTAAGTATTATAATATAATTACTGAAATAAGAGGCGAAGGTCGTTAATTTTAGTACATCAGTTTAGTAGTTCGAGCTTCATCATTCATAGCAATGCAACGCACATGCGTGTGTGCTTTTCTTTTATACGTAGTTTACGTGGTGTATATTATCAGATTATCAGGCAAATTATTTTCAACATACTTATGAATACGATTGTTCTTCGGTTTCAGGTAAATTTTACGACGTCTTTCTGCTTTCATTTACTTACATTTGTTTGTTTAAAAATAATTTTTTCTTTACAATACTAGTTGTAATTATTACAATGATGATAATTAGTAATGATAATATTCTTTATTGATCTTCCTTGAAAATCAAAGGACGATTGATTAATTATGTACACATTTTTAAGGATTATAGTATCATATATTTATTAATTTCTTGTTAAAGTCTTGTGATCTAACTGTACAAAATACATTGCATTACTTACACAGCATTTTATAATTTGGTGCACACGTAGTGTCACACTACAATACATGTGTTACTATTCCTATAGATGTGATGTGCTCTTATTTTTTATTTCTATTCATCGTGTATGCTCATACACTTATATTATATATATTTGTAAATATTTACACATTATATGCTACAATATTAGCAATCCACGCTGTTTGTGTTGTTATGCAAGAGATCGCTCGATAGCTGTTAAACAGCTCGCAGGAACATAAAATTCATACAAGTACTACTTATGATAAATTTTTACTCGTAAATTTCATCTTTTCAAATGCAATAACTAAATCGCAATCTTACGTCTTAGGTAAATATCTTTTACACAAAGCGCCGTCCTTTATTTTACCAGCTACAGTCTCAATGTGTGTAGGTTGATTATCCATTATTTTTTAAATTTATTTTTTTTTATTTTTTTTTTTTATTTAAAATCAATTTACTTTACCGTGTTTTATATATGATAGCCGTGCAGATTGTCAGTGTTTATTCAAAAAGCAATGTTCGTATCGAGAAAAAAAAAGTATTTTGTTTCTTAAAATCACGTCTCGGATCAACGAGACTTGTCAAAAAAGTTTCCGAATTTGAATACCAAAATTGTGTGTTTGATAGGTAATTTTGTAATATCTGGGATGCTCAATACAAAATAATTTACACCAGGTAAATATCCATTACAAATGTGTGTTTTCGATATTTATCGAACTTTTGTACGAATTTTCTACATAATAAGATTAACAGCTTGAAAATGAAATGATAAATCTTTACAAAGTCGCAAAATTTTACTGTACATATTTGATGATATTACGCATTGCCTCTATCGTTCAACTCCATAATACGCGATAAGAGACTTTTACAACCTTAAAGAACCTGTAGTTGTATATTTGATTTTTTCTAATCTTTCGTAGATGCATTTTTTCGTTCAAACAACATAAACAAAGCAAAAATTAAAGAATATGATTGGCAACGCGTGTTTTATGAAATTTTGTAAAATCACGTACGAAAGTTCCAAGCGACAAAAAAGGTAAGCCGAAATTAAAAACAGCACAATCATATACAGTCAAGCAAGGCACCGTACGTTCAAAAAGAACGCGAAACGAGCTTTTTTACATTTGTACGTGAACCAGTGCAGCTTTTTTTTTCTTTTGATCGCCCGGTATATCGAAGTCTTTTGAGTATTTGAGGTTTCTTTCGTTCACCTATTTTATCAAATAAGCGAGTGCCGGCAGACTAAATTACATTAAAAGCGTAGGCGTGCACCTATTTCTCAGTTTTCTTTCAAACGAATTCAAGTGATCAGTATGATTGTTCAAGTTAAGGCTCACTCGTGATTCTGAATACACGTAAGTGTAAAATGTATTTTTTTCATCGACGCGCATCAGCATAAATTTCATAAATTGACCAAAGGGAACCCTCCGTTCAACGTACAAAAGCAGGAAAGAGACGGGGATGTAGTGTAAAAAAGAAGAGAAAAAAAATTAACTCTGTCCAAAAAGGACTCGGCGCGTTTAAGCTAATAAATATAGTTTTAAAAGAAGTCCATCTCACACGATTGGACGCAAGTAAATGTAAAACAATGGGGATGCGAAATCGATTAAACTCGAAAGCACGAAAAATTAAACGCGCGCGGTATTCGCTTATGACTTAAAAAAAAAAAAATAATAATAATAATAATAACAATAACAACATCAACAATAATTTATCACATTTTTATGCTCGTAAACCCTCTCTCTCTCTCTCTCTCTCTTATTGATCTCGTCGCGCAAATATCACAATAGAATTGATTTGCCCGTGCGGACAAAGGAGAGTAGTAATAGTAGTAATAATAACATGATTGTATAGTTGCCACGGTCCGAGTTAACCGAAAGAACTCGCGTTGGCTGACTCGAAGAAGTTAGCGCACGTACTTACACAGTGTGCATCAGGGAGAGAGATGGAGAGAGGCGCAAGCTAATAAGTAACGGACACGAGTGCCCGTCCATGTACAGGTGCCGATTCATCCTGGCGCGATGATAATCGCGAGAGGCGTACATATAATATACAGACGCGTAATCATGTACCCATCACGGCTGGTGCTCATCGTCAGGCGTACGACTGGTCGAGGGAGATGGCTATCTTGTTGCCCTTCTCGACCCAGTTCCTCAGCCTGCCGCGCAGCTCCTCCAAGCTCTTGGACTTGGCCTTGTTGATCCTTTTGTACTTGACGTCCTTAGGCTTGGTCACCGACCTGTGGTTGCTCATCACCCTGTTGTAAGTGACCTGCTAGCGTCACGCCCGGCGCCCATCAGCCACCGGAAAGAAAAGCAACGACGCGCTCGGAGAGAGTAACGGACGCGTCTTGGAGGAAAAAAAAAAAAAAAAACAAACAAACAAAAAACACACGACAGTCACCTGTGCCTGCTGGCTGCTCTCGTCCCTCGTCCTCTGCACCGGGGCCGGGGAAGCAGCGGGTTTGTCCGCCGACGCGGCCCCCTGGGACTGCTGGGCCTGCAGCCTCTCGAAGCTACCGTACAAGTCGCGCAGCCTGGGCTTGCCGCTGCTGGACGGCGTGTCCCGATGGTCGGGCTGCTGTCGGGGGTCGTTGTCCGCCTCGGCGTCGGTGGGCTCCGGCCGGTCCCCGTCGGCGTCCTCCTCCACCGAGTACACGGTCTCGAGGACCTCGGGCCTTCGCAGGAAACCGTTGCAGCGCCGGCTCGCCGCGCAGTACTTGTTGGCCGGCTCGACTGCGTCCGACACCGATCGTATCACCGTCACGTCCGTCAGATTCGAGCGAAACCTACGTATAGTTGTAGAGAAAAAACACATCAAACATCAACGCAAGTGCGGACGAACCGTGACATTAAATTACGGAAAACAATACATTGCGTTTGGTTAACGGGAGTGAACGGGACCCACTTGAAATCCGTGTACCCCGGTCGAGTGGAAAGAAATGCGCGAGCTAAGAGCTTACGATTTGCCCTCTGTCTCGATGTCCCTCATTTTAATGAATATATAATGTCACACTGGGGTCTAATGAGTGCAGTTGCGCGTGATTGGCTCGGTGCAGGGGGAAAATATGGTCGTACCTTGGGGGAGAGGGATCGTCGAGAAAGTCGAGGACGACGGCGCTGTCGCTGTCGCCGAGGCTGTCGAGGGCGTCGCAGGGTGGCGAGTCCCCGGCGAGGGGTGTGCTGGCGGCCCTGGTATCCGGTGCTCCCGGGGTTCGGCCGCCCATGCTCGGGCTGCCAGGGGTCGACTCGCCGGTGTTCCGGAGCCTCTGCTGGAGCTGCTTGATGGCACGCTGCTGGCGCATGATGATGGCCTCGCGCTGCCCCAGACACGCCTCTATCTCCTTTTGCTTCCTGCAGAGGCGCGACTCGAAGAGCAACAACTGCGACGACAGGCTCCGCAACTGCTCGGCCTTTTCCCGCGTCAATCGCGACACCAGCTCCTCCTGCGATTCATCAATACATTATACACACACCTCGCGTGTATCAATTATACCTACTATTTATACATATATCCGGTTCATGGGTTTCCTTCCGTCCCGTTTCCATTCGTTTCGCTGGAAAATTCAACCGATTTCGTTATATACCTACCGACGGACAAGCTTATTCGCTGCCAATGACGAGCTTATCGGAGGAGGCGTTGTACAGCTTTTGCTCGAAAGTTATTCCTTCCGCACGGGGAGGTTTCTAGTAGCTCGGCCGATTCAAATGTCCCAAAAGAGGAGTACTTATAGGGCTCATTTCATTAGAAAAACGTCCGAAAGCCAAAAGGGATTTGCCGCTTCAGCGGTCAATGCATCGATTAACATTATTGTCAGCCGTGACATTGTACACGATATGTCGAGATGAAGATAAAAAAACGCGTCTCTGGAGATTTTAGCGCGGAGAAGGATAAGAAAAAAAAAAAAAAAAAAAAAAATTGCAATGATATCAAATGTAAATGTGCTTGTATAGATGATACGTTGATGTTTTGCGTGCGAAGACGTGGAGTAAAATTGAAAATGCAAATTGACAGACGCACCTGGAGTTTGAGGGTCCTCCTCCATGCGAGCATCTGGTGGGCCTGTGCCCTCTGCCGCGCCCTGAGAGCGGCTATGACCTTCCTGGCTTCCTCGAGGCTGGTGACCTCCTGCTGCTGTGGCTCGCGGGTGACGTCCCTGCAGCTCGTGCACTCCTGGCTGCCGAGCCCACTGTCGCACTGCCGCTGATGCTCATCCTGTTGATGCGGCGGCGTAGTCGCGAGGCCGCTTTCCATCGACGACTCGTCGAAGCTGCAAAGTAGGCGCACCAGTTATACACGGCGCTCGACCGATTAGCCGGCTTTTCTCCAGCCTCTTTTCTTTTCTTTTCTCTCATCTCGTCGCTCACGATTCGGATGGCCTAGATTTTTCTTTATTTCTTTTTTTTTTTTTCCTCCTCCTCGCCGCGTGACGTGACTAGACTCTTTTCACGGCTGCTCTCCCGCGAAATCGCGTCTCTCGACTTTCCCTTTTCGCTCTTTTGATCAATTTTTTTTTTTTTTTTTTTTTTCCTCCCGCTTACATACGATTCAAAGTGTGTACTCGCTCCTTCACAACAGCGAACGCGGGCCGACACGGATATCGGCAACAAAGTTGTACATCCGAGGACAAATCGATCAATTATTTTGGTGAAAAGTAAAAGCTGTGTATACATGGTATTTGAGGTATGCGGGGAAAAGTCGAAAGCAAAACGTATATACACAAGCAGGTATAACGAGCAAAGTGATAGAGAGAGACGTGCCAATCACCGGGAACAATCCGTTGGTCAATTTAGTCGGCATATTTGCGACTAAACCCGAGTTTGCAATGTGGGCATATAAATCTACGCGGGGCAGTACCTGCACACGACTATATATATACGAGTAGCGAAAAAGAAAAGAAAACAAGCGTTATCGTGTAAGGCTAATTTACAGAGCCTGTCCTCGGGCCTGTCGTAAAAAATTACGTTCCGTCGTGATCGTTTAGCCTCCGAGTGAGCGAAAGGAAAAAAAAATCCCTGCATTTGGAAGCCAATTTTTCTTTCATCGCTTTTCCTTTCCCATTATATAGATACAGTCTCCTTCCCCCCTCCCTCCCCTCTCTTGGCAGCGGGTACATCATGCACCTGTTGCGAGTCGAATCTCAAGTCACGTGCGGCATGTAGAGGCATATATGATTAGACGTTCTTCGGCTGCGTTTTCTGCAAGAGCCGGATTAAAATTATAGATCCCCGACGAATACGAGTAAGTAGAGGAACGATGGGGCGAAAACTCAATACTTACTCACGTGTACACCATGTAATAATGAAAAGTCCGCGAGCGGATGCCCAATTAGCGTTCACACGGATGTCTGTGTACGTTACATACTCGTGCAATATAATGTAATATATAAAATGTTACCCGATGCATTTGTGACGACGGCGACAAGTGCATACATGTCCGTGCCGTTTTTTTCATATTTACGGACACACTCGTCTTCGTTGCAATGTTTATCATTACTTTGTTTTTTCGCGTATCTGTATGTATTTCACTCCTATATTATGTACATATATTTATATATACACACACTACACCCTTTCGATCGTGCCAAGTGTACGAGGCTGGACTACAAGTGTCCCCTCTGGTTTTACGATCGAACCCAACCCAATGTACTTATTACAAAAATATACAAGAAGCAGTCGGACGAGGTGCAAGTGAAATCAAATCACCAGTAGTGGGGGAGGATCTTAATTCTACTCTTTTTTTTTTTTTTTTTTTTTTTTTTCACACAAGGAGGACGCTGTGGTGTGGGACCAATGTATCGCGAGACGCAAACAAAAACAACGGCTTAACCAATCAAACGGGCAGCGGCGAGCAAAGCAACAATCCACATCGAATCTATAATATCATATATGAAGTAGGTAAATCCCACAACTGGCGATTTGCAAACCGTGACAATTAAATCCTGTGCCAATGAAAATGCAAATAGATTAGTTAGCAAATTGATGGCAAAATATAAAGCGATCGTTGTGCGTAAGCTGCAGAAAGGGGTATATACATATATACATATAAAAGAAAAACCATTGAAAAATGTAAACGTAGAAAGGGATGCACTTATCTGTGCAGCTTCTTCCGTGCTATAATATGTTATACCGTCGGCAGTGTCGGCACCCTCTCTTACTTTGACCTTGCGGCTCCGAGCGGTATAGCCTCTCTCTTTTGGACTCATCCTCGGGTATAATATATACGTATATAAACATAAGGTACATCTATACGCATCAGCTGTACCTACATGTGTACCTATATGGTGCTGTTGTAGCCAGTCGCTGTAACGTACATATTAATTGTTTTCTGCGGCTAGTGCTGGCAAAAAGACCAGATGTTTTCGTATCATGTACGTTGCTATCTTACCCTACTGCAGATAATATTGCCCCCGCGCGCTCATTCCTCCCCACTTGCACTTCCTGTATCACATATTACGTGCGGTACGTAAATATATATAATAATATGATACACGATGTGTATATAGGTATACGTTTGACTCGCGCCCTTTCTGTGTGTACGCGCCGCGATACCTAGCAACGATCGGGGACCTTATTTGTGTTTCCCTTCCGTCCGTATATGCCCTCAGTTGACTCATTAGGTTGCTTGTATTTTTTTTTTTTCTTTTTTCTTTTCTTGGCTCAAAAGTTCATTTCCACGTTGCCTCAGTTAAGTTACCATGCGGAAAAATAACAACGCCGCGTTTTTTTCAACAACTTTTACAGTTTTTCCATGTGTTTGTTCACGGCTTCTTAAAGTTTTTACATTTTTTTTCGATTCTCTGGAATAATTTCAACATGTTTTTAGCTTTCTCGACTAAATATTAGCAATTTTTTTCTGTAAACCTTCTATGATTTTGAGAAAAAGTTACGAAAGTTACTATTTTTTGAACTTACGAGAGCTATTATCTCAAGAAATGGGGCTTCGCGAAAAAATTATTTTTCTACTCCTTTTCACTCTAAAAATGTTTTCAGCTGATTTAATTGTGTTTTGGTTTTTTTTTTTTTTTTTTTTTTTTTTTTTTTTTTTTTTTTT